TGGGCCCCTTTCCCAAAACCGCCCTCTCCGTTTGGGCTCGGGAGCTCCCCGAGAGCCGTGAACCCCAAGGAACCTGCAGGGGTTTTGCCAAAAAAACCCAAACCCAGGGCTGGGTGCAGGCACGCCAAGCCTGCGCGCGCAGGTTTTGGCAGCCCACCCTCGGCCCCGTGCCGGTCCGACCAGCCTGCAAAGCTGAAATCCTGCTCGACGAGAGGCAGTTGCAACGGGCCCTCGGCGGCTCGCTCCAGAAAGCTTGCAAATGCAAGAGGAAAGCCGGCAACGCCGACTGCCCAGAAACCGGGTGCCGGGCTCCCAAGCCTGCCTTCGCTCCCGCCAGCCACGCGCCCGCTGCAAGGACCGATTCGAGCCCAGCCGGCTCCTCCAGCTTGCCTCGCCCGATCTGCTTTTCGTTATGAGCAGCAGCTCTGCGAGGTTGGTGTGGGGTGGGGGGGAGCGCGGTGCAGGTTGAGGGCCGATTCGCGCTGCAAACGGAGCATCATCTCCGTAACTCTTCGTAACCTGAAAGAGGCTCTTTCGCTCCCAACATCCTCGAAACGCTCCTGAACCAGAGCCTGAAATGCCATCAGGGAGGAACAGAGCCATCCTGCTAGGACTCTCCTTTTTAGCTGCTATTGCCTCGATTCTCCCCCAGTGCGGGAGCTCAGTGATGTCCAATTCATTTATTTCGGCCTCGGAGCGATGAGGGTCGGGCTCGCCGGCTTGTAACCGGTCCCCCACTCCAGGAAACAAACCCCGAGAGGGTTTTGCACGGCTCGAGCGTCGTACGTCTTAAAGCTGCGTTTCCCCAGCTGTCAGGGAATGAGTTGTGGCAGGGCTGTGATTTCTCCCAGGGAAATATCCGTGCCAGCTCGTGCAGTACTTACACTTCGGCTCAAAATGTGCCGGCATACGGCAGTCCAAATTCGCATGAGTCCCCAGCCAAAAATGCGTTTTTGGGAAGAGGGACCAAAAGAAACGTTCCAGAGCTCGGCTGTCTCCATGAAATATGTTGCGTTGGAAATGCCAGGGATTGCAAAACCGCCTGGGAGCCTCGATATTTTTTTCCCCCCCTCTATAGTGCTGAGGTGGAAAACGCCATCGATGGAAAGATTTCTGGGCGGTTTGGAAAAGCAGAAGGGGAGGCAGAGAGAGGAGCGGCGTGGCGGAGGTGCCGGGAGGGAGGGAGGAGGGTATCTCGGCGTGGCTGTTTCGCGCTACCGACCCCCTCGCTCATCCCTCCTCTCCCGTCTCCTCGGCAAACGCCACCTCCCCGAGCCGCAGCGAGCGTTTGCCGAACTTTTATCCGGAGCCAGCGGGATCCCGCTCCGCCGC